ATATATATATATTTACGGTGTAATACCAATTTATTGAAATACAAAGCTGGAATTAACCCTAGAAATATTCTTTACTAGCCTGTCGGAGCAGTAATGTGATTGCAATGTACAAAGCATAAATAGTACCACAAGCTCAGAATAACTGTATTATTATACAAACAAACAACAAAGCGACAAAAACTCTTACATATTTAAGTAAGCAAGAATTGGGGATTTGGGAACTACTAGGGAAAGTTTGTGTAGAGATTCATAATCCCAAGGTATTAGATAGTTATCAGTTTGTAAAAGTATTCAGATCATGTAAAAAAGGTACATTTTCATTTTCAGACATGTGTTAATACAGAATTAGGATTTCTAAAAGCCTCATACGATTTTAAAGATTCTCTGTCATTGATTGCATGAGGTCATCTATTGCATGAATATATACATAGTGCACATATATACGAATTCAGATATTCACTTACATATACAATATACAATGTGCAATGTATGGCCTGGCATTGTAAAATTTGGATCCAACATATGCAGTACATCTCTGCAATACATGCCAACGTTGTTGTGTTTTATCTCTTTAAAGACTGCAAGTACAGAAAAATACCTGTTGATCTGCAAGAAATGCACTCGGCTTGTAATATCTTATAGTGGGCTGACAATACACAGCATGGTGTGTGGTATCAGCCCTGCTTAGTTTTCTTTCGCATAACCACTCAACCACTCCTCCTGTCTTCATCTCCAAATCATAGACACTCATTTATTTGTAAAATAATAACTAGGATGCCTAAATAAACTTTTTCAGATAACACAGGTCAGCTCTGAATTTATAACAAGATTAGCATTTTTGTTTTTTGCACTAATAAAAAAGATTTAACAAACTGCTTTTAATTAAATATTTATTAAAGCAAAATGGAACAAATAAATTAAGATAATTGTTAGATTTACATACACTTTAAGCATTTCATTTTGTAAGCATTGAATGGTCTCAGAACAAAAATGATAATAACCATTACTGAATTTTTTATTTTTTTTCCTAGGGTCAAAAGGCATGGATAGAAAAGACATTTTTCAAAAGAGAATGCATCTACATAGTTGCCAACAGCAAAGACAGCAACAGGTAACTGCTCATATGTTTGTTAAAAAATATGTATTAAAGGTTGCTTTTAAAATCTATATTAATTTGTAATAACATGCTGTAATGATGGTGGCATGATTCCTTTAGCTATATATATATTCGTATGCATTTATTTTGTGTTAAAGCAAACCTTTTCAATAGCTGACAATTTCCTAGGATAAATTATTCATGTTGGTGGCTTCTGGGCATTTTTGCAAGTGTGTGCTATATTTTAATAACTAAAAGCTGAAAAGCACTATACATCATGTGGTATTTAAACTGTTAATAACTTGCCAATGGCTTGTTTATACTATTCCTATTTGCTGTAAGTTCCTATCTGAGCAGATACATAAAACTAGAGAAACTGGAGAAAGGGAATGTGTTATTGTCTGTAACAAGTAGTCAGATGCTTAATTTATTTCTAACCTACAAAATAATGCCATCTAGTAATAGTCTGCTTATTGCTGGTAGCAGACCCTATTTTTCCATAAAAAATAAATAAATCCATAATAACTATAATTAGCAGCTAGTGCTGTACAAGATATACCTGATGGCTAATTGGAATTATCTTTGTAATGGCGATGATGCCCTCCAACTTTTCCATTGTAAACCCCATTTCCATCCACCTGTATGCCAACAATAGAAGATGGTGGGCATAGAATGTACTGATATAACCACACCCTGCTGGGGGCTAATTAATGAATTGTCTCTAATAAATTAGATGTCTTTCTTTCCTGAAACATTGGAGCTTTGCTCTTCTGTAGCATGCATACCCTAAACCCTTCACATGATTCTGATATTATGAAAGGTAATGTATTCATTCATGTAGTACTAACATTTTCACAGTACTGGTAAAGGAATCTTGAACTACTCATATCAGTTTCAGCCCTTGATGGAGCTTAATAGTGATGCACCAATCCCGATACTGGTATAGTTGCGGATACTGAGCATTTTGGCTCCGTTACTTACCCCGATATCGGAACTGCTGGTCAGAAGGCGATTCCCTCTGACCAGCAGTGCTGCGAGGGAGCATGAAGCCGGCGTCAACGGCCAATCAGGAAGCCAGGCGGCAGGTCATGACTGGCCTCCCGGCTTCCTGATTGGCTAGGAAGCTGGAAAGCTGGCTTCACGCTGCCTAGCGACACTGCAAGGCAGCCTGGCTTCCTGACAAATCAGGAAGCCAGGCGGCAGGTCATGACCCACCCAGCTTTCTGATTGGTCAGGAAGCCAGGCTAACTCGCAGTACTGTGAGGGAGCGTGAAGCTTTCAATAGAACACCGGCTTCCCAGGGCAGGAAGCTGGGCCCATGCTACCTTCGGGATGTTGGTACTGGTACTCGGTATCGATGAATACCGATAAAAAAATATCGGCACTCATACTCAATACTGAAAAACTGGTATCAGTGCACACACTTACACATATGTCAGGGCCAGTTTTGAGTAGAAGTCATTTATTGTATTAGCAGTTTTTAGGACTGAGACGAAACACACAAACAAAAGGTAACACTAAACTCAGGAGTTAAATCATAAAAATGTTTTCAAGTACCTTAAAGGAGAACTATGGGGTAAGTTTTTTTCCCCACAGTTCTCCTAAGGGTCACGGGAGGACACAAACTAGCGTCCTCCCGTGACCCAAAGCTCAGTATACCGTGAGCCACAGCTCGCTGTATACTGAGACCGCAGCAGCCGGGACGGATCCCGACATTACTGTCTAGAATAGCTGTATAGCTGTCTAGCTGTACCCGCCCCCTCCACCGTCCGTTCCACCAGTCAGCGCTGGAGGATCGGACTCACCTCATAGTTCTCCTTTAACTATTAACAATACTGTAGCTTATTTGTGTATCACTCAGCTGTAGATCCTCAAATCATCTCTGAATTGGTGCTGACACTGTCCTTCCTTCTGGAGGGTGGCTACTTTTGTTCCCCATGGTCCCTGTGTGTACAGATACATTTTGATAATAGTTGGGATGCTTGAATGCATTTTCAAGATTGAATTCCTGAGTTTAGTGACACTTTAACATGTCCATGACAGCCTAGGCTCAAAGCACAGGGTTAAATGATGCCTGCCTACATTCAAGCCCAGAAGTGAGCAGTGAAAAAGTGGTGAAGGATAATGTGGAGTTCATTGTTGTAATGTGGAAAGGGTGAGTATTGAAAAAAATGTCTGAGCTTAACAATGATATTTAAAACTTTTAAGCATTTATACATATCAGACACCGAGAAGTATGGCTACTCCTCAGGCACATATTATAGCTGCATACTTTTACAAGCCTGTGAATAATCAATACAGTTCTATATGATTAATAAACTGAATTTACTTTGATTTAAAGGAGAATTATGGGGAGAGTGAAATAGACTCTTCCCCTCTTCCCCATAATTAAAACCAATGTGTGACACTGAAGCTCTATTAATCAGAAACTCATCGAACACATACCACCAAACGCTGAGTTCCCCATCCAGTAGAGACTGGGGATTGGTACTGTCAGTCACAGATCCCCTCAGGGATTCCCTCCTTCCCTCTCCATTCCTTCAGCACTGACTGTAGGGATGGATGGGGAGGGAGTGGGCACAGCTGGCTCTGCCTCTGTAGAGCTGTCAATCAGGCAGCATGGCGGATCCCAACAATATTGTCGGGATCTGCTCTGGCTGCAGCGCGGCTCTATTGCCCACCATATGCTGACTTTTGGGTCACAGGGGGACATAGTATATATCCTCCTGTGATCCCAAAGAGAACGATGGCCAAAAAAGGTTGGCCCATAGTTCCCTTTTAAGAGTAATATGTAGTGTTAGGCCCCGTTCACATTGCGCGATTCGCAAATCGCGCGTTTGTCGCGCGATTTGCATTTTGCGCGATATCGCGTGATTTGTTGCGCAATATCGCGCAAATGCTTGCATTGAGCAAGCGAGAATCGCGGCAAAATCCGCTCCAAAAAGGGTCCTGCTGTAGCGACACACGACCCGCGACAGCAGGACCCTTTGCCCCATTGAGAGACTCTAAGCTGACAATATGATGCTGTCTGCACCCACATACACAGGCAGCCAGGGAGAACTTACGGGTACACATGCGTGCCACACATGCGCAGTGGCAGAGGTGACAATGAAAATAAGGGACATACAGTCCTGTGGAGGGGGAACAAGGGGATTATCTCTAAAGTGATGAGTGCACACTTCCAAATCAGAAGTATGGGAAAGCGCCACACATTAACCAGGAGGCTGCAGTGGTAAACAAATAATATGTAAGTATATCCGGACATTTGATTACAAAAGCATTAATGTTCCTGTACTCAGTTGGTATAAAAAAATTTATTCAGGCTAAAAAATTCAAGGCTTTAGTACTGCTTTACACATTCTACACTGTGTATGTGGTAACTCTATAACCGTAATTAAGAAATGTTTAGTCAAGGTTAACTAATTTTGGGTAGTTTAACTACTGCATGCATATTTAGCACTTGTTGTTGCAAGAATTTAACAAGAATTCAAGAGTCATATGTTACCTAAACGTGTTATATATAAGCACAAACAGTGTAAATACACATGTGATTCAGTACTCATATAATGTTGTTGTAATACTTTCAGATGTTACTGTGGTCAGCTTATTACACAGCATATTCCAGTTCCTCAAAATGCTATAGCTAACAAGAATGGAGAAGACAACAAGCAGTTGGAACCTGTGCCTGAGAAGTGGTCTCTTAGTAAACACACACAGCTGAGTCCCACAGATGCATATGGGATTTTAGAGTTTCAAGGAGGTGGACACTCCAATAAAGCCATGGTAAGTTTGTTTATGGAAATCATGTGCTTTATGCAGGAAATGCTGAAACTGAATGTGTGGTTTTAATATTCAAGAAATTTGGCCCGTTATTTTGCAAAACCATAAAAAGGTTTTGCAAAATGGATATTATAAAGTAAGGGAAAATCCCAGGTAGCCAATGAATATAAAAAACTAGAGCTGGTACCTTTACTTTTTGAACGTTTCCTGTTTCACTCCTTAACAGTGCTGTTTGGGCTCTAGAATGGACTAACCAGCCCAAGAATGTTACTTATTTCAGTCTATGAGTTTTTTCCAGTAGCTTGGTCCTTCCCTCCCTTTTGCCTATAACGCACTTTTACAATACAATAATAGCTATTAGTAGGTAATCACATGCAACTGGATTTGTTCTGTAATATTGAAAATGTTATCCAAGCCCTTTTTTTTAGTTCTGATGAGTGTCCGAGAAAATAATCAAGGATTTATATTAACACAGGTGGCACATATACCTAAATCCAATTACCATTGAAATACAGATGTTATTGTCCAAGAACAGGATGAGTGGTGTGGAAGTTGTGGAACCACCCTGTTCTAGTTAGATAATCCAACCCTTGGTGTCAGGAAGGCTTCATAGGTGTTAATCCTTCAATTTGCATGGTTTAAGGTGTGAATTGTTGTAAAATGCTGGGTTAGGGATGTTAAATGGACATTATATGGAAGATAGAAGGTATTGAAAGCCCCCACCTCATTCAAGGATGGCTGTTCCAGTTTGACCTTACTTTCATGCTTCTTGCGAACAAGTTGTCCTCTCTGTCCAAAATGTGCATTTCACTGTCCTCAAATGAATGTTCTTCTTGCTTAAGACTTAGGAAAACTGATGAATCTTGACCTGTATGTTGGACCATTCTTTTGTTGAGAGATTGTTTTGTCTCCTAATTGTACAGGTCTTTGCGTTCCTCACAAACTGCACTGCATATACTGTACCAAGTTACTTCACATGTGTATGGGTGTCGGGTCTTTGGCTGTACAAGCTTCTGTCTCAGTGTATTGCTGGGCTTGAAAGACACAGGTATGAAATGTTTGTTCAAAAGAAAAAGAGATCCTTCTGAGTTTTTCTGACACTTCAGCTGCTTATGGTATGACTATATTACTCTCTCTGTTCCATTTTTGATGGTCCATCCTTTGATGGTCCTGTGTTTTTGCTTGACTCCATAACACAGCCATGTTTCTGCCTGTGGAAGTTATCCTTGTACTTAAAATAGGTGACTTTGAGGCAGAGGTCCAGCATGGAACATACTTGGTCTGGCTTGAGTTCTGTTCAACTGTCAAGAGTCTTATATCATTTCAGATGTTTCTTTACTGTCTCAATAGTCTCTGCAGTTGGTATACAAGTAAAAAGGGATGTGATATCATAGGACAACATTGTCGCTTCTGGCTCTAACTTCAATCCACATATTCTTTGGCATTCTGAATATGGTGTACTGTGTTGCCAACCAGGGGTATATGGACAGTAACCAGATACCTAGCGACAGAGTTGATGATGCAGTTAACTCATCTTAGCGGGGCACCTACCTTCTGTATTTTAAAGAGTCTGTACAGGCATGGTGTAGCTTACCTAGGATAGGTATGGTGGTACAATGTCTGGTCAATTATTTTTACCTTTCAAGGTGTGGTAAACAGTACATCACCTTTTTCTTGTAACAGCTAGTGGCATCCTTTTTTAGCGACTTCTTAGTAATGACTAAAGTGGTAAGACATCTTCATGCAACGTTTCAGAACCCAAAGGTTCCTTCATCAGGCAAACAGAAAGTAATGTTCTGTTTGCCTGATGAAGGAACCTTTGGGTTCTGAAACGTTGCATAACGATGTCTTACCACTTTAGTCAATAAAGAGATTGACTGAACATCATATTGGAGTGCGAGTAGCTTTTTTGTTGATTTCGAGTTTTCTGCGGAGGCATCTGCTGCTACTCCAGCACCCACCCTGTATCTTGGTTTTTTTTTTCCGGTCAGGAGTGCGATGGGACTAATTGGATTTTGATTCACTGAAAAGAGTAGTAACCTTAGAATGGTAATTGGATATATGCATGACCACAGTGCATCTCCCCTTTGTCCACAAGCAGGATGGTAATGCTCAGATCCCTACTAAGCTATGTAAAAGTCCTCCTCTTCATTGGGGTCAAATTGGAATGAGGTCCTTTGGCACTAGACAGGACAGCCAAGACCTTCAGACAGAGTTGCTCAGCCCCATCTACCAGTATGTGGTTGGTATGGATGGAAGTTTCTATAGCTGTGATAATATGTGCCACAACACATGGACATGTCAGGCTGCTACAACAAAGTTCATACGCTTGGATAGGATTTCCATCTCTGACTGTGTAAGCTCTCTGAAAGGTTCTTATCACTTTATTGCTTTGGGTTGTTCTGCTATCATTCTTACTTATTCAGGTTAACTCCTCTGCTCTGTCATTATTGATGGTCCAGCAAGTTGGTGAACTATTTGACCTGTCCTTCCTTGCCCTTAGCATGTTAGGCTCGCTTAGCTTGGTAAATATAACCACTCTTTCTAGGATCTCAGTAAGAGTTTTGATGCCAAGCTCCATTTACAATCATCAGCTTTCTGTCTCAAAACTTCAATGGTGAAGTGGTTCTACAGTTAATGTGTTTTAACATCTCTACCCCAACCTGACAACAAGTCACAGGGATTGGCTTATGTAACTAGAACAGGGTGGTTCTACAACTTTCACACTCCCTATTCTGTTCTTTGACAATTACATCATATATTTCTATAGTAATTGGATTAAGGTGTATGTTTTACCTGTTTGTATATACATGCTGTGGTGTTTCCTGATACACATTAGAACTGAAAAAGTGGCTTGGATCAACTACAAAACGTCTTCAACATTACAGAACAAATCCAGTTGAATGTGGCTAACTACTACTAGCTATACCATGACCTGGATAAATGAGAACCTTATGATTGAACGAATTGTTCTTTTACAGTACATCCGTGTATCATATGATACAAAGCCTGATTCTTTGCTTCACCTCATGGTAAAGGAGTGGCAATTGGAACTCCCTAAGCTATTAATCTCTGTGCATGGAGGACTCCAGAATTTCGAAATGCAACCTAAGCTGAAGCAAGTGTTTGGAAAGGGACTAATTAAAGCTGCTATGACTACCGGAGCCTGGATTTTCACAGGGGGTGTCAGTACAGGTGAGACCTCTACATCTTCACAATTGATTCACTGATCAGACAGATCACATAAACAGCTACATTGTTTAACCTCTTGCCGTCCGCCCGTAGTAAAAAAATAAAACCCCCAGTGGTGAATAAATACCACCAAAAGAAAGCTCTATCTGTCCCCAAAAAAGGGTATAAAATTCATTTCAGTACAGCGCTGCATGACGGAATAAATGTCAATTAAAGTACCGCTGCGCTGAATACTGAAAAATGGCCTTGATGTGAAGGGGGTTTAACACCGCGGATGTCAACTGGTTAAAGCCAAACTCCCCTCACCACAGATCAGCACAACAAACCATAGTAATAAAGGAAATATTAAACATAGTCCTGTTCAAAAGTTTGCATGGCCTTAGTTATTAATATCATGTACTTCCCCTTTAGTATCAGTCAATTGCTGTCTTTTGTTATAGTTGTCAATGAGGCCCTTTATTTTCTCGTGTGGTGCAGCTGCCCATTCTTCTTGGAAAAAGCCTCCAGGTCCTGTAATTATTTTGGTCATCCAGCATAAACTGCATGTTTGAGATCTGCCCAACGTGAACCAATGATGTTGAGGTCAGGAGACTGTGATGGCCACTCTAGAACCTTAACTTTTTTCTGTTGCAGCCACTGATAGGTATACTTGGCCTTATGTTTTTGATTATTGTAATATGTTGATAAGTTCAGGTGCGCCCCAAGCACAGCTTCTCGGATGAGGAAATGCATAATTTCCTCTATTATGTTTTGGTTATATGTTGCATTCACACCCCAAAAACATCTTCCAGGCTTTCCAGTAGGAATGGCATGCTCATTTTCATGGGCCTTGTTGACTACTATCCAAACATAGTGTTTATTGTTGTGACCATAAAGTTACATTTTTAGTCTTTTCTCTCTAAATGATTTTGTTCAAGAAGTTTTGAGGTTTCCCTATGTGTTGTTTGGTTTGTTTTAAGTGTTGTGTAAGTGGGCTGTTTCGTAACAATAACCAAGGGTTATGTAAACTTATATACACAACTGTATCATGATTTTTATTCTAGTATACAAATAGACTGCACTATCCAGAGAATTTTTATACTTGAGACTTTATTGAAATTCACAGCAAATCCAGTATAACAGTGAATAAAAGTGTATAAAGCAGCAAATACCAGCACCGCAAACCCCCAACCAGCTACAACCTCACACATGTTTCACCCGCAGGCTTATTCATTATTCATGACCTCTAAGAATAAGCCTACTGGTGATGCATGTGTGAGGTTGTAGCTGGTTGGGGGTGTGCAGTGCTGGTATTTGCTGCTTTATACACTTTTATTCACTGTTATACTGGATTTGTTGTGAATTTCAATAAAGTCTGAAGTATTGGAATTCTCTGGATAGTGCAGTCTGTTCGTATACTACTACATTCCAAGGTGGAGACGCCCCTATTAGACCAGCACCTGGGGAGTCCTGATGCTGGCTAAGGAATTGGAGCGGTGAGATTTCCTTTGGCTCTACATGATTTTTATTCTATTTACAAGCAGTAATTCATTTTCCATTAATATTTTATTTAACAATAAACTCTGTATTTTGTTTTACTTTTAAATTTTCACAAATCCAATGTTTTAGACTTCAAATCTGACAAATAACGAAAGAAATGCACTTAGTGTTTTTAGACCTTGATAGTGTGAACTCTATCTAGGTTTATTGCAGCACTTGAATCATTAGCATGTGACTTATTTTTTGATCTTATATCGGATCACAGCATGATCCATACGCTTCAAATTGTTGCAGGTGTCATTCGCCATGTGGGGGATGCTTTGAAAGATCACTCTTCCAAGTCCAGAGGAAGAATATGTGCCATAGGAATTGCACCGTGGGGCATCGTAGAAAACAAAGAAGATCTCATGGGAAAAGATGTAAGATGTTTAATGTAAAAAAATAAAATACAATAGTCACAAGAATTAAATATAAAATGAGTGAAATGCACAAAGAATCATACATTTTTCTAGTGTCACTGCTCTTTAGTTTATTACAATGTTTTTTTTGCGCTCATATTTTTATTCCACAAGTTTTATTTCATATCATATGAAATCCTGATTTGTTTTCTGATTCATATCAATTAACACTTGCCAGGGTTTAGTTTAGGTGCAAGCCCTATTTACACTAAAACAGCCTCCTTGCTTCCTCTCACAATAAGACTGATATAAAAAAAACAGTACTGAGAAGTTTATCACAACCATCAATCAAATTCCAAGCTGCCTATGAAATATGAATGTGATTGATAATAAAGGAAGCAAAGAGGTCCAGAATTGCATAATAAAAGTAAAAATCTGATCTGCTAATGGTCTTTTATGGGACTGAGTATGCTTTTTCTGCCAGGGAGTACACAGGATTCAGATTAAAGATAAAGTCAGTCAGGTTTCCTATTTAAGTACAATTTCTGGATAGCATTAGTAGCTCGCTGAATGCTTTCAGTTATTTAATGAAATTCCCCTTTAAGAAGCCTTTTACCTACTTTTCATGGAAAACTTTTTCTACAACATTGAACACACTTATTATCTTTTATACACAGTAAAAGCAAACAATGATGTCATGTTTACAGTGTGTGTAAAATTTGTAGTGGTGTGTTTGGCTAAGTATTGTCACGAGTTGTAGAGTTCATGAATAATACCAGCTGTAAATGTTTAACCCTGTTTTCCAGAACCAAATTAATTTACTATGTGACCTGTTATTATGACCAGTTAATTCAACTCATGTCTTGTTCTTTTCTCAAAGGTAAAATTTGCCAGTGAACATTTGTTTAAAATCTCATGTACAGTTATAGCATTTTACAAAAAGAAGTCGATACAAAGAAAACACCCCGTTTCAGTAAACAGCCAGTAGGCTGAATTTACAATGATATTACAGATGTGTTATTTGGCATAGTGATTGTTATTTTAAGTCTAGTAATGGTTATATTTTTAGCTCTCATTGGCTTTCGTTAAAAACAACAGTCAGTTATGGCAATAAAAATTGTTATTCCTTTTTGAATTGAGCCTCGTGTGGTTTTAGGACTCTTTATATGAGAGGTTCATAACTGATTTATGTGTGTTTATTTAACAGGTAAATAAACCTTATCAAACAATGTCAAATCCCCTAAGTAAACTCTCCGTCCTGAACAACACTCATACACATTTCATCCTTGCGGATAATGGCACACTTGGAAAATATGGAGCAGAAGTCAAGTTACGGCGTCAGCTAGAGAAGCACATATCTCTTCAGAAAATTAATACTAGTAAGTGTAATAAAAATGTTTTGTTAACTTGGTTTTGATGAGGAGAGAGTACTTTTCTTACTGCTGAATGCAGTAATTGGGGACCCACTCAGTCATAATTTATAAGTTGCTCTTTTACAGACTATGCTCAATGGTCACTTTATTAGTTACCCCTATCTATGAGGCATATAGAGGTGTATATGGTCAGTAACATTACCTGTGTACACTGTGCTATTTAAATTATACTCAGTTGGCATTTTGTATGCAAATAAAACATTTCCCACACCACTGCCCCACTAGCCTGAACCATTGGCAAAAAATAGAATGGATCCTATATTCATGCTGTGTGTGGTCTTACTATCTGCACCTGGCTAGGAAATTCAAACCTTTTTCCTACCAAACAAGACTGACATGTAAAAGAGTCCCAAAAATGTATCCATTGCCAATATGTTACAATTACCACAAATAGGAGGAAGTTGCTTACGGCATGCATCTTTCCCATTCTAATGTTTGGTTGATCAACTATTGAACTTCTTGTCCATGGCTGCATATACTGAGTTGAGACCACATGACTCTTTGTATGCCTAGTTTTGCTAACAAGCAGGTGTACCTTATAAAGCGGTCACAGACTATACAGTATATTTTATTATAGCTGTAAAAAAAAAATATTTCAGGTTCTCAGTTCATTGCTAGACATTGGGCTTGTTTTCATAGAACTCTGTCATGGCGCATTTGAAAAATGATAAAGGCAATATTGAAATCCTTGGGATACATTTTACAGGTTACAGGCACACAATCTTAGGCTAATTGTTTAGTGGAACTCAAGGGCTTGCTACAATTAGTTTGCAGTCCTCCTATAGCCAAAACTTAGTTTTTTGGTTTGCACAGACTGGGGAGGGTAAGAACTGTACTCTATTTTTTATTGCTGTGTCCATGGAATGGAGATTCGTCTTCACTTGTGTCTTGGTGATTAACAAGGAAATGAGGGGGAAGAGACACAGATAGCAATATAAAACTGAGGGAAGTTATAACTTTTATCCACACTACAAAAAACAAATGCTGGAATTGCTACCTGTGTCCCTATTGGACCAAACAGCCTTACTTCCTATCCCAATGATAGGAAGTTAGGACAAATCTCTGCAATGGGGTCATAGAAAGCAATAGAAACCATTCCCCTTCCTATAATTTGGGCTGCAGTTGGGCTTTAAGCAATAAAATAAAATAATCAGCCTGTATTAACAAGATGTGTGCAAGACCAGCATGTGCTATGTCATAATACAGTATATGGGTATTTTTGTTATTCTTAGTCATTGAGTTTCCATGTAACATGTATGCAATAGCCTCATCGTCATTACCTACTTTATGATTTTTAGGCTGTCTATTCTGGGCTCCAAGACATCTACTACCTTTTATAGAATGTTGTTTATTTATAGAAGACACTGACAACGTGACACATGGGTTTCCCTTTGTCATCCTATGCCTGGGAATAAAAGTGAGGCAGGGACAGCAAAGGGATGCTCAGCTGTCATCTCCTGCATCTGCGTAACCATCATCACTAACACATTACTGTGTGTAAAAACATTGTATGTATGAAATGTATTGTTCTTATTCATTTATAGGATGAAATTGTTGGTTTTGGTCATAGTGTGTAAAAGAGGTAATTGGTACACTGAGTGGTAATTAGCTGAAGAAAACACATAGCTGTAATATACTGTATATGATCCTATTGATTAAAAAGTTATGTAGTGACCTATACCAACCAGTCAGAAATAATCTGTCATTAGTTTGCCTGCTAAGCATCTTTAAAAGCTGATTTTAAATGGATATTGTGAATTTTTGAATGCCATGACTTCTTGCTTTGCAAATGTAAGTATGTTGACATAAGTGCTTTTGTCAATAGTGAAGAGTGGATGTGCTATGTTAATATTATAGGATTAGGCCAAGGTGTGCCTGTTGTAGCACTCATTGTAGAAGGTGGTCCAAATGTCATCTCCATCGTTCTGGAATGCCTACGAGAGGAACCCCCCATCCCTGTAGTAGTTTGTGACGGAAGTGGACGCGCCTCTGACATCCTATCTTTTGCACACAAGTACTCAGAGGAAGCAGGGTAGGATTTCATGTTCTTTATCATTGTTTCCGTTATTTTTGTTTTAAAGATTTCAAATGTTTCAGTTCAATTAAAGTAGATTTTACTTCGGATTGCGATAGTTGTGAAATTTGCAGCTAGGTTTATAAGTGTCTTATTAAAACAATATACAGAAGGAACAAATGGCTCCTTGAAGGCTGAGCTACACAAGTAGCTTGTGGCAGCATAGAGTATTCATTGTAGAAATTGGTGCATTTTGCTATCATATGAGAATAATCATTAATTCATGCTGCTTGTGTAGCTCACACACAGGAAGCCATTTTTTTCCGTAAGTGCAATGATCAGTCACTACTCTTACTGAGCAATTGCAAGCAATTTGAGAAGAATTGAGCTAATAAAATTGTGTGTGTACTTATGCATTATATGCTTAAAACAGAACTCCAATTATTTTATTTTTTTAATAATAAGCACAACACTGTAAAAAAAATAAAAAGAAGGTTTTGATCAAGTATGTAACTTCTTTTTGGCGCTGTACCCTGCAGAATCACTGCTTCGAGGTCCAGTGCCAGTTATTTTCTGGGCTGAATGATAGTCAGTGTCATTCAACCCTTTTTCTTTTGTTCCCAGGCTGTCATGGGCACACCCTTTGGGGGTGAATCACTACGGTGGCCTGGGCTCAAAATACAATACTAGTTAGGGCAGAACTGATGTTATAACATCAGCACGGCTCTCTGCAGTGTTGAAGATTACCAACTGCAGATGCAGGGAGTAGAGAAGAAAGACCCGGGACATCATGTGATTTGCTCCATTGGGGGCTGTGGGAGCCTCCAGGCAGAACAGCATGGCTTGCACTTATAAGTACAAAACTATGAGATGTTTATTGCTCTGGCTACTTCCTTTGATGTGTATTTGTAGGATAATCAGTGAATCCCTTCGTGATCAACTTCTCGTTACCATTCAGAAAACATTTAACTACAGTCGGAACCAAGCTCACCAGCTCTTTGTTGTCCTTATGGAATGTATGAAGAAAAAGGAACTGGTAAGAAATATATGATAAATGCATGGTAAACCTAACAGAGATACCCTACAGAGCTAGATACAAATTCTTCCTACATGTACATAGCTAGGAACAGATGCCATTTTTCCAGTCAGTGGTCAGGGATTGTCGTCAAAAAAGTACAAGCATTAAAAGGTTAGTTCACCTTAGTTAAAGGGTTACTTTACCTTTTCACAAAAATTTGAAAGGTGAGCTATCCTTTACACTTAAACATGACCCGTGTCTACCACCCACACCAGCCTGTGAAATGTCACTACACAGCCCCAGAGGCTCTTATAGCAACAACATGCTTCCAATGGGGAGTGGTGATTGGTTAGTGTGGCCACGTGACCATGCTGACCAATGGAAGTTTACAGATAGCAAACCGCACAGCTGCTGGAGTGCATGTGCCAGACACAGTGCTGATGCGCTTGATTGAGATGCATTGCACTGTTCCTTTATTTATTTTTTGTTAGAACTTTATTGAAATGTCACAAGTGACATTTCATTAAGTTCTATGGGCACACCACTGTGGTGCGCTCACAAAAAGTGCTGCATGAACTGAGCCATCTGTGGCAAGACAAATTGCCCAAGCCACTGTACGTCCTTGCTCCTGCAGCCTCCTGAGATATGTGAATTGCATATGCCAGGAGACCGGGAGAGCAGGACATGCCTTGGCAAGAATTGGCCTTTGGAATGATCTGGCCAAAAAAGGGAGTTAAAATGGACCTGGATACTGAAGGTCTGCTTTAGGTATTTCAAAATGAGTGCTAATTGAGGGGTTCTTCTTGTTCTTCATGTGAAGTGTTAAAAAAAAAATCAGTCACAGTATATTTTTAAGTATGAAAATATTTTGTCAAAAATTAATCCATTGGTGCAGCAAACATAAGAACAGAGAATTGTGGGAATTACTACCTATAAAGAAAGTAGAAACCACTGGCGCTCCAAAACTCCTCACATCAGGTCTTCTTTATTGACATGATCAAGGTGGTCTCACAGTGTATGGCAACATTTGGGAACCCTGTCCGGTTCCTTCCTCAGGCAAGCAAAGTGACACTCCCTATAAACTGAATACTGTTGCCATGATGGAAATGAGAGAACATTGTTAGCAGTTACTAACAAATATGGCTGGATGCAGATTGAAATAGAAAGGTTATGTTAATAGTTCTAAATCACATTAGGATTTAATCAAATCAAGCAGTTTCAGGCCAGGTGCATAGGAGTTCTGCCTCTTTGCACTACAGTGAGATAGATAATATATAGATAGATAATTTTATGTAAGGTGACTAGCACTTTAGCTTCATTGATCTACATAGACACACTGCTTGCATACAGTCTAATAGTTGAAGAAGAGTATTTTGGCTGAGAACAACAAATGTTTGTTACCTTTTTCCCTAATAAAAATGTCCTGTGTTCAGTTTGCCTTATTTGTGTGACTTGTCAGTGTGTCATATTCCTCATGCCTTGTGCCCTGCCATTCTTCATCCCTATACTGTCAGTGTCTGGCTGATCATGGGACAGTGTCTAATGAGCACATAAATGTGGAACTAATACTTATAAAATCACTCACAAAGCAGCTCTTGTGTGCCTTTTCTATGAAGGCATGCTTTTGTTTCTCTGACTTATTCTTGGGATTTTAAGCATTTCCTGAGACAGATTTTGTTAAAGGCATCTATGTGATAGTCAGCTGACAGCGTGGAAATCAAAGTAAATGAAAATCACAGGAAATAGAGTAATGGTAACTTTAATGGATTCTTATCATTTGTTTTGCTTTTCCTTATATCCTGAACAATTATGTGCTACATTTATTTTTCTAAAGGCTCTTGCACACAGACGCAAATACAGTGTACCTATTGCCATATAACGCAAACACCTGTATTTGCAGCACCCAGGAGTTGCTTTGTTTTTCTGTTCATAGGAATGTATGGACAGAAAACGCTATATGTGGGTGTACATGTATGCGCAGGGGCTTACGTTCCCAAATGTGAAACTTTGGGAATCTACATATGTACACATGTAAATGCCGGTACCAGCGTTTACACGCATACACCAGTGTTCAACGTACTACATCAATATGCCTATATTTGTGCCCATGTGCATGGTCCCTGTGCGTGTTGTAAAGTAGCCACCGTTTCAAGCTCACTCCTGTGATGGACTACAGTAGTGGGGAACAAAAGTAGCCACCTTCCAGAAGGAAGGACAGTGTCAGCACCAATTCAGAGACGATTTGAGGATCTACAGCTGAGTGATACATAAAGAGGGTACAGTATTGTTAATAGGGTACTTGAATGCATTTTTAAACAAATTGTACTCCTGAGTTTGGTGTCACTTTAACCTATCCCTATTACAAAGTTAACAGCAATGGGGATCACCAACACTCAAAGGATGAGCTTAAATCCTTGTGTTTTCATTATAGAATCATGTCACATACATTGCATAGCTAACGTTTCGGAACCACACAGGGTCCCTTCATCAGGCAAAAATAGTGACACTATCCCTATTAAACGCATATGAAGAAAAATTTGAAGAAAAGCCATATGGTTACAATCTTTAGGTGCTATACACTTGTGAATTAAATAAACTTATGACATGTATTGTTATGGCTTCATTTGCCTAACCGCATCCATATCATGAAGTGGCAAAATAGGCACATTTGATTGTTTTTTAACCAGTTTTGCACAAACAGTATTTCCGCATTAGGCAAACAAAAATCACTGAAGGGAATAGATCAAAATTGCAGCAAACAGAATCTGGAGCAGTTGTGACCAGCTTTTCTCTTTCATTTTCTAAGCATAACTGAACAAACTGAAGAGAGAAGCTGGTTGGTTGCCATGCACAACTACTCCAGATTGTGTCTACTTCAGTTTTGATAAATTCCCCTACAAATACTTAAATATTGGGTTAATATTTGATCATCTTTGTATTACTCTATGCAGGTTGCTATGAAGACATCTGTAAAATGTGCCTCTGTTTATCATTTTTGGAAACACGGGATCTTTTATGATTCTGTATAGCTCCCTATTAGATGTCAGGGAAAATATATCAAAAGTAAATTAGCTTCAGTTGCATTAAGGTGCCCATACACCTTGTGATTATCCCGAACTAAATTAGGCTTTCGGATGATATTCGGTCAGTTGATGGGAAGTGAACGATCAGAATTACTGTACAACTGCCCGAATTTCCTTGATCGGTCAGGCTAGAAAACTTTTTTCGAATCATATGAAAATCGAAGGATTAGTGGTGTTTTCGTTGGAAACAAATCACAACATGAACACTGCACATGCACAAACAAAAATCTGTTCTGTCGATCGACGAAATTTGATTAGTTAGTATTGCTAACGAATGATAATTGAATTTCACATTGGTCTGTGCATGGTGGGGCAGTCATGCAGAAATCGAACGACGGTTCGATTACGGCACGCAAAAAAATTGAACAAGAATTGTAAGGTTTATAGCTAGCTTTAAACTCCTAAAACTTACTGCTAAAAGTAAGATTGACAATTCTTCAGTGTAAGGGAAACCAACATGCTTTACTGTCATACTCAAAACCTGATGTTGAGGAAAGAACAGCATCCCATCAATGATTAACTAACGAAATAGTATGAACCCAATATTATAGAATATAAGAGGGAAGTGGTAAGTTTTTCCTTCAATATATTGCATTTTGCATCATTTTATTGACAAACTGTACTTGTATCAACTAAGGAAGTTTAAGACTCATTCACATGGGCCTTCTGCGTTTGTTTTAATTGAACACAGGAGAAATTGATGTGAGAAGAATGTTTGGTTTTCTGTGTTTATATGCAAAATGTACAAGTATTTCTAAACTCCCTTTTATCATGTGTTTACATGCGTTTAGATATGCTTAGATTATCTAATATGCCCTGGACACAATTAAACATAAGGCACCTGTATTCAAGTAATCACACGAGGTGCATTATACCATTTAAAACATTACATACACTTGTATGTGCTTAGAAATGTCCTATAAACACATATAAATGCATAAAGTCACATATATTATTGACCATGTGAATGAGGCATAACAGAGAATGAGAAAGTTAGACACAAAAAACATAGTTTAAAGAAACACAGAATAACTTTTATCATTCTTATTAGATTTAGGTATAAGAATACAAAATCAGAATAAGAATACAAAAAACACAAAACAGGATTTCCCTTAAATAGACTACAAAAATAAATGTGGTAGACAGGGAGTCTGTATATACCAACTTTATAGCCTAAACACAATTTTGCATGTTAACACGTTAATGTACACTACAAATGTTAGGGTGTTGCAGTGCTATTCATTTTGAATGGCACCCCAACGTACAAAGGCAATTTAACTTCTATGTACACATGTTGCAGAACACTACTAAACTATGTACTATGTACTAATCCTTTCCACCCCATTCTCTTTTATTCCAGTGCATTACAGCACAGTTAGTTGCTGGAAAACACTGGATCGCATAATTACAGCGTACCTGCATTCTGCGGCAGGAGGGCGTGTGGTGGTGCCATTCAGGTCAATGGGACCGCAGCCACACTTCCCGGCCCGCAGTGCGAATGCACCAGAATGTGTGGCACAGCAATGATCGCACACATTATTGTGCCACGACTTCTGGTGCAGGTGGTCGCACTGTGGACCAGGAGGCCACCACCATGCCCCCTCCCGCCCCAGAACAGAGGGAGGCTGTAATAACAATAATTATTATTCAAGTTTTATATAGCGCCATCAGTTTGTGCAGCGCTTTACAAAATGGGGGAGACAGTGCAGTTACAATACAATTTAAGTACAATAGTGTTGGGAGAGCCTCGCTTGTGAGAGCTTACAATCTAGAAAGAGGGGCAAGTGATACAAAAGGTAATAATTGTTTAGATTCAGTTAGTGGATGAAGTAAAAGGACAATTATGTTGAGGTGGGATAGGCTTCCCTGAAGAGATGAGTTTTTAGGGATCGCCTCAAGGTGGACAGCGTAGAAGATAAGTGGACAGATTGGGGTAGAGGGTTCCAGAGGATGTGTTCCAGTGTGTTTCAGCAACT